CGGATAGGAAGAAGAGACAGCTCAAGTAGTCAACACGCAACGGCCCCTACAGCTTACATATGAATAGCTAAGAAAACAAACAAAAAAGGCAGCTTACAGCCCTCCTGCTCTGAAACTGTGTTCAGAACGAAGCAAAAGTTACAGTGGTGACAATTGTTTTCCTTTTCTCTCTCTTTTACCTTTGTTTTCAGAAGCATTAAGGCAGCTGGCAGCAGTGAGAGCAGGGAAGCACAACAAAGAGCCAGGCAAACCTACATGGGCTGCATTAAACAGACGGAATAAATACGTGCTCGATGTCACAGGAGTAAAAATATACCCTGCTGAGTCTCCTGGAAATGCCGGGATAAAGAGAACAAGAGGTGACACAATACACTGAGGGAAGCTATCATGCTTGTCTGCTCCTCAGCAGAAATGCAAACTATCAAGAAGTTTGTATCTCTAAAATTTTCTCTGTGCAGCTCAATCTTATCTTTGTGGTGAGGGACAAACATAATGTCTATGCACCACTTAATCTCATCCAAATCTGTTATGTTGGCCTGTTGTAAAGGGGCAAATTTGTCCATAGGGCATTAAACTAATCCCTCCAAGGAGCAGCACCTGTAATTAAATACAGGCCTGTTTTCTCCCTGGTCTTTCCCTAACCAGAGTCTTCACAGCTGTGTGGAAAACTCTACCACTCTATGACCACCATTCCCTACAGCACACAGAAAACCTACAGTACCTCCACTGTTGTTAATCTGTCCATTTGTGACAGTTTTCCATCACTGGCAAGGACCAGAGCATCTCAAATGGAAGAACTCAGCTGGCTCTTGAGCACTGTTACAGATGCCTGGAGTTCCCCATCCTCCACAGCCCTCTCCACTTCCACAGTCTTTCACTGTTTTCCTGTATCAGCTCACCTGTGTGGACATCAAAAGCAACCACAACAGAACAACCCAAGGAAGTGGCTCTGAAGTGACTACTCGTAGCAATTCCATCATGAGATCTTCAGATGAGAGCAGTCAGTCTTACAAGTGTGTTGGTTTTTTTTTTTTTTCCTAATCGTTGCTGCAACAAGTTTCTAACAGTCCACACAAGAAAAAAAATTAATGTCTTCTCTTTCACTGTTTGCTACAATCTGAACAGAGGATTTTATCAGAAAAAAAAGTGAAAACTAAAATACTGGGATAGGGAAGGACCTATTTGATCCGTATCTAGTGATTGGTAACTTTGTGCACTGCATATCGTCCAAATAATAGTGAGGTGGAGCAGATTGCATCAGTGATGGGAATGGGAGCAAAAAGCTGAGCATACAACAAAACACAGCACTGATTTCATGCCAACAGGAAGCACATGAAGCACTGGATGCAAGGCTGTTCCATGCCCTGGATGCTGCTTTACAAGGAACACAGAAAGGCTGACACCCTGCTATCTGCTACACCTGATGCAGCATGAGGCTTCAGCATTAAGCCTGGAAGAAGACCATGGTCTTACAAGAAATAATATAAAATAATGATGGGATTATATTTTACATGGGAATAATGGTAATTTTACTCTGGGGACCTTCTAAGACACTGTTAGTAACTTTTTATTTCCTATTTTACTTCTCAATGGCAAACATAGTAAACAGGTGCTGAGTAAAATGCATGTACAGATGTCGCCTAAATGACTGTGTTGATTTCAATTATTCCTTTGTACTGCAGCCACTGCTCTCTCAGCACCTGTTTTTCTTCTCAGAGCAGACCTAACAGGAAGCCAAGAGACAGGGGAGGCTCGTGGGGTTTTTTTTGTCAGAAAAAAACGCTGAAAATCCAAAATAGTAGCACTGTGTAAATAAACAACTGAAGCAGATGTGCCCACTTAATCTGTTCTCAGAAAAGGACACCGGTGACCATCATCACTTCTGTGTGCTGTGCTGTCACTCACTCAGCCACTGTAGGTTTGGGGTGGGTTGTTTTGTTTTTTTTGTTTGCACATTTTCATTTCCAGCCTGACTGTGCTGCAGCCCCGGACTGCCAGCAAGAACAGCCCACAGACAGCCCCACAGTGCTGCTCCCATAAGCTGGCCGTCAGCATTCAGCAATTAGATGCATTAATTCTGCCCTTGACATGCTCAGTCCTGCTAGACATGGCTCAAAGACACCTCGCTAAGATACATGTATCAGGTTAAAAAAAAAAAGCAAAAACAACCCTGGAATTACCTCAGCAGTAGTTCTGAGAGGTCTGATCTGGACAGGTAGCTTCTACCATATGCTTACACCAACAAATTCCAAAAAGCTAAAAGAATAAATAAAACTAAGAACAGCCTCAGGTAGGCTGTCTCTGTCTTGCAGCTACAGGTCGAGCAGAGCGAACGTGCAGAGCTCTCCATGTCCCCTCGGGTGCCGCCCCACTGCCATCCCCACGATCCCCAGCACGTCCCACATGGCACCAACACAGCACTGTGGGTGGGAAGGACCCATAGCTGTGGGCAGGGACACCTCCCAGCTGGGCAGGTTGCCCAAAGCTTCGTGATGCACTCATCCCAAGAGGCACCAGGACCCAGCTCATGGTTTGCTGGGAAGCCATGGACAAAGGCCGCTTACCTCACAGGCAGCTGGGCACCCAGGGCAGGAGCCAGTCCTGGCAGCAGCAGGCACACATTGCTGTGCAGCACCCACAGCTGCCGCCGTCACTCCGGCCCTCCCTGCTCACTCTGTAAATACTCACAGAGCAGGATAGCGGGCGTGGAAAGAGGGAAATGTGACGTGCACAGCAAGCCTCTGCCTTATGTGTGAGAAAGCAGCCTGACAGATCGAGTGCAAAGAACTGGGGACTCCCAGGAAAATTTTCTCCAAAGCCTGAATACATTTGAGGATAAAAACAGAAATGTATTTTTTAACATTAAGGTAAAACTGAGGCTGAGAGGCCTGAGCCTGCTATATCCCAGCAATCCATATGATTTCATTGGAAGCTATATTTCAATAGATGTATCACCGAAAAGCCCCCTCCCCATACTTGGTGGTACTGCTCACCACGCCGTCCTGCAAAGCCAGAAACAAATAAATAGCACTGACAGCATGTGGTTAACCAAACACACTAGGAAAGCACTACATGCTGACTTAGACATCTCACAGCTGGGAACAAGAAGCACCCAAGGAAAGCCAGTGCTCACTGTGTAGGCAGCAATGAGCATTCTTCAGGTGCCTCCAAGCCGGCACCGGGAAGCCATGAGCAGGATATGAGCTGTCCTTAAGAAACCAACTCCCACTGCACCTTGCTTTCACCACCTGTCTCTGCCCACTCTTATCAAACACAAAGCCTCGACAGTGACATTACTCAGTGCTGATAAGCAATGCTAGATCTCACCCCTACCTGCATCCCTCCTTTGTAGAACAAAAGTGAAATGTCGTTACCTGCTCCAGCGCCTGCCATGGAAGAGACCAGAACGTTTTGCTTAAGAAAAGCCTCAAATGCGTAGCCAAGGCTTTAGTTTTCTGGGGTGGCATATTCACCCACAAAACTATTGGATCAAAGTAAGCCATTCGTTTGCCCAGGTACTTCTGTCATCTTCTACAGTTCATTTGTGAACTTCCTTTTTGTTTTTTTTTTTCCCACAGAGAGTGTTACCAACAAAAACTTACAGCAAAATTCTCCATGCCGCAGGAAGCAATCTGCCTTTAAAATAAACCTGGTCAAAAAGATCACAGATCCGAATGTCAAAAAGTTTTCTAAATACTGATAGCAACTCATTAAAAGCATCTTATTTTAATAGCAAAAGTTTTGATTTCCACAGCCATAAGAGGAATCCAAAAACCAAAGCACAAAGTTTTGCCATTTTGCCAGTCACTAAAACTACAATTAAAATCCCCGCTAAAACATGATCCAGCACATGAGAGATGACCTAGCATAGCCCCTCTGACTCTCTCAAGCATTTTGGAATTTGACTTACTTCCTAATATTTTTAAATATAAATTCTAATATTGACATCACCTAAACTAATTCAAATTGGAATGTTCATGCAAATAATACAGCTTTTATTATTAATGTTTGTTTTACAAATGAATAAAAATTAGTTTAATACTCCTACTGCTGACAAATTATCTTCAATTAAAGTGTTGAGGTGCAGAATAATGAAAAAAGCTGTAGGTGGATGAGCTGAAAGTGAGAAAAATCTTGATATGCTGCTATTGCACACCTATGTTTTCAAAATAAAGTGTCCATTTTCTCTGTGGGAAATACTGACCCAACCAAGTGATAGCTGTACTCTCCTGGAAACTTGCTAATTCCTGTAACAACAGCTAACAGCACTCACTTCAAGTCATATATGAATGATCATCTCAGAAACCATCCAGAATATGAATAAACAATTAGGATCTACCAGGTCATTGAGCTTTGTAGTACTGTATTATTTTCACAGAAGAAGAAATTGTGTACAAATAGTAAACACCATCAAAGCACACTTTATGCACATTAAAAGAAGTCATTACAACCCAATCCAGCAGGACAAGATGCCACCTCTGAGTTAAGGCAGCATCACAGAACCCCAGAGAAAGATTCCTAAAGGTTATTTGTAGGTTTCTTAAAAAAAGTTAGAAATCTAAATGGCAGTGAAAAAGAATCAAAGTATTCAACACTTGTACATGAGTATTTATTCTTCAGTGCTCATCTCCTATACATATTTACACATGGAATATTGCAATAAGGCAAATTTAAGGTGTTCTGCGTATATGCAAGTCAGGAGGAGAAATAATACATCAGGGGTAAGAAATTGCTTCTCAGTTCACTCACAGATGCATAGCTGCATAAGATGATTTCTTCATTTATGAGATTTCATAAAAACTAACTTGCAGATGCTACTGAAATCTAATGCACGTTTGTGTTACCAATATACTCAGAGAAACTATTCTTTATTACATTTTAATGAAATATAGAATTCCAATGTAAGTAACATTTCTCTGTGGGGGGGAAAAAAAGCCAACACTATTTATAAGACAGAAAACAATTTTTTATTCTTATAGAAAACAATATTAAAAGGGACAGTTCAAAGGAACCTGCAGGTAGAAAAGCCATAGAGACACAAACTGGACACAAGATTTGAAATACATATATACACAAACATACACAATGGTTTTCACCATGTTTCCAGATGAGTAGAAAATCATCTGTGGTTTCCGTCACTGCTTTTAGCTGCTACAGAACGCACTTACAGGAGGGCATTGCAGCACGTGGGGACATTCACACCACCCCACGCAGAGCACGCTGCTTCAAGCATTCAGGTTCTGGCCAAAGGAGAGCTCAAAGCAACCAGACACAAACACGGGTTGTGCTCCCCTCGCCCCAGTTCAAATCCATCCTCTGTTACAGTTTTACCTACAAGTAAGGCATAGTGGTTCCAGTACTACATTAAATACCGTTGAACAATTGGAAAAAAAATAATCATCACAAACTCTTTCCCAAAAAGTACTTTATTAGGGAGGATAAAAAGCACTGTTCAGACAGTCCGAGTAGGTGCGGCATTCTGTGCCATCAGGCTCCTCCATCTCAAAGTCATCTGGATCTGGGGGCAGCTGGTCAGTATCTTCATCAGAGGTCGAAGGGCGCGTGAGGATTATTCGAGGTATCTTTAGGAAGATGCAAAAGATTGCAGAGAAAATGAGTAAGATCAAGAGCAAGGAAGAGTTTAGAACTGGTATTATGAAGGTACAGGTGATGAGCAAGAGTATATGAGAGATGTAACACCACAAGCCTTTCTGAGGGGTGAACTGTTCTATGCCAAAAATCTGCAGTGATAGTTAAAGCAAAATTCAGATAAACTGTATTTTCTTCTCATAAGCTAACTTCTAAAAAGCTTCTATAGAAAGGAAAATTTGTCTATTTTAAAACAATCTATTATATAAGTATGAAAATATGAAAACTACACATACATATAACTTTATAAAATCTATACGCTTAAAAGCAATACAAATTAAAAATAATGAATTTTAATAATAAAAGCAGATAAAACAGTAAGATCATGCACCTAACAGGCAAATAATAAACTGTCTCCCTTGCCAGTACTCAGGAAATTTTCAAGAAAGGCAGTAGTTCTTATGTATCCGTTACCCCGTTCCATTTCTTCAGACCTTCTAAGAGCGCTTAACGCTGACACCATACAACTCAATTGTTGATGCATTATTTCCTTGCCATCCACCACTTGATTTGGGAAACAACACATGCACAGAGATCCACCACCTGCACAGGGCCTGGCACCAGCTCACAGGCAGCTGCACCACACATAGGCACCACAATACCAACGTCAAGCCAGATTCAACGTATCATAAATGCAAACCAATTTTAAACCAGCCATATTTTTCTGTTACATTCCCATTTCTATTGAACGCTCTCATGTCTCCTTTTTCTTTCTTTCCTTCCTTTCTTCCTTCTTTTGCTTAGACTAAGGAGGACACATTACTGGAAGCATTAAATAACCCTCTATAGATCAAAAGTACTGGGAAATTTTACTTCTGCCAATTTGCACAGCATTTATAAGATCTCCACCGACTGGACATTTCTCTTGATATATTCATTGCTAAAAGATATTTCCTCCTTAGTGACAACCAGCTGCTTTGTGCTACAGCAAATGCATATCCTATATGGATAAGTATATATCCTATACGTACAGGTGGGTGTACTGGGTCATACTGCAGAATTCCACCACCTCAAAAAACAGAGATGAGGCCCATGCCTTATCTAAAGTTAGTTACAATGATAGACAGCACCAGCCTTTGTATTTCAATAAGAAAGCTTTTCTTTAAATATTCTGTCTCTTCTGAAACATGCTTCTTGCACACTACTTTCAAATACTACTATGGGACAAAGCTTTACACTCACAAAGTGGATTTGATTTATGTTTCTTCACAAAGAAAAGAGGGAAAAAAAACCAACAGCCAGTGTCAGTGAGGCCTAACTCTAAAAATTTAAACTAGTAACATGAAGTTCTTGTGGGTATCCCACTCTACCACATCATACACATATACAGAGTTTTGATATGGCGCCAAGATTCTTTGGAGATCGTTTTTTTAGGGTACTCTGACATACTCCTTATTTTAGAGATCATTCATTTGAGATACCATAAAAAATTGTCTTATTTTTCTTTTAGTTAACTAAATCTGAACGAAACATAAATCCAAGACTAACGGTATTGCCACTGGAGGAACAAATCCCACAGGATGTTCAAGTTCTGGCATGAAATCACCTTTTTCATCTCTTCATACATTTGTTCAATACACTGCAAGCTGTATTTAGGCTTTCACAACTTCCCTGAAAATTTACCTCATTTCCTTAATAACACTCCCTTCACCCATAGTTGAAACATGTGGTCTGCAGACTGCACACCTGTAGAGCTCCTGTAGAGCTTCCTGCTGAGCCCTTGGAAGGCATCCCATCCCCACCAACAGTGTAACAGACTACAATCTCCTGTTAGACATCCACCTGCCCACTGGTTCATGCTTGTGCAACACTGCTGTGGAACCTGTACTGACAGCATTCATTAAACAAGCAGTGTTGGAGGAAGTCTTCCATCTAATCTTTCATCCTGCTGTGTGTAAAAAGAACTGGCACCAAATGACTGATCAACTTTCTATGGGGGAGGCTTCTCAGCCCAAAAAAGGCTGCAAGGGCTGGAAATCTGTGCTCCCCAGAGGATAGAACAGAACTGGCTCATCGCTAATCCACTGCAACTCAAGTGAATCCTCCAAGCAGATGACAGCTCTCACATATACCCACCTAATGCTGTTTCAGAAACTCATCACCAAGTTTCAACAACAAACCAAATTTTCTGGTCCAAGCACAATCGTCTCCTCCATCTCTCTCTGCTTTCTGCATATCTCATCTCCTTTACTACTCTCTCTGAAACCTTTACCATTCCCAAACCCTAGCTGTTCTCTTCTCAGTGGCTAATTGATCTGATAGGATTTGGAGGAGCCCAGATTTCCTCACAACTACATCATTAGCACTAATGATCACCTGGCTGTGAGCGGTGACACCTATGAAATTGAAGACTGGAAGCAAACCCAGCTAAGAAACAGAGTTTGCTTTTTTCCAAGATTAGTTGCAGTGAAAGGAAACTCAAACCTCTACATCTAGCATCAAAAGCTGTTGATTCATGACCTTAAAAAAACAACAACAACAACAAACAGATATAAGAAACCTCCCATCATACCAAAACCATCATATTGTAACCAGTGTGAGTTTTCCATCTTCTCCCAGCTGTTCGCTAGGAACCTACAGCTCTCCATCCCTACCTTCACATTCCCCCTGGCTGCAGCAAAATCATGACCTAAGCTTCATCTACTTCCTTTTTAATTCCAGTTCTGCTTTGTTTGTTTAAAAGCAAAACAAAATAAACAAACAGAAAAAAGCAGAGTAGGATAACTCAACAGCTAAATTTTCACTGTATTTCTTTGCCTTTCGTACAATTCTTTTTTCACACTCAGTGCTTCTCTTTCCAGAATCCCAGTAGGATTCCTTATGCGCTTGCTTTCAGGTTTCTGCATTTTATCTTCACTAATCACAGCTTCACCCTATTTACCTGGTAACTTTGCTTCTAGAGTTTTTTGTTGTTTTGTGGTTTTTTTTTCCCAGACAGAACACATTTCACACACAAAAAAATGTCACAGTAAAGATGAAGCAAACTGTCTCCAGTGCCCATTACAGACAGTTCAAGACACAGATTTATAATGGGAACAAAGAAAACCTTTCCAGCATGGGCTGCTGAACTCTAAAGTCGCCTGCCTAAAGAAGGCGTGTAATTTTCATCTTCCACCAGTAATTCTTCAGAAAATGTTAATCTTGGTGTAGGAGGACAGTTTAAGCAGGATTCTGCAGTGTCCCATTGTTTTACCCCATTAGTTTTACCGAACAGTGCCTGAGCTTGCTCAAAATATTTCTGTTGAAATTGCAGAGTCCTCCTACTCACTTTCCATCATCAACTCATTATTAAGCAATTATCAATTCAAAACCATAGAAATAAGTGTTGGGTGGTGGTTGTTGGTTTTTTGTTTTTCTTTTTTTTAAAGAAAAAAAAGGTGTAATTAATTATTTTAAACCAATTACTGTTTTCCATTTCCCCCTTAAAAACATTTTCTGTGCATAAAAAGTAAATTTGAAAAGGGACACATTCTGCATCAAAACCAATGTATTCACTATAGGAATTTCTTTGGTTGCCGTGTTTGCATCTCTAAATAGCACTTCACAACATAAACACTAGGACTTAAAACACTAAAAAGGGATGCCTTCTATTTTTATTCGTAATTGGTCATCGGTAAAAATCAAATTATTTCAAACACTAATTTTATGGATTATTATCCTTCACTGAAAGTTGGAGTCCTTCAACTGAAACACAGTCCACTGCGACAAGCATTGAAACCAATCAGTCTAAATAAGTCGGGTCAATCCATCTGCAGTGTTGGTTGCAAAAACTAATTCATATTGACACTGGATAGGAATAAATATGCAACTGGCTATGATGTTTCAGTTGCAAGTATCTCCTTAAAGCTGAGAGTGATGGCACAAAGGCAGCCCTTGGAGAAAGCCAGAGTACACAAGGAAGATCCCAAATTTTGAAGAATAGGGATTGGAAAAGCACTTGGATTGGTCTTTTGGAAGAAAAATCAGACTTAGTTTTGACTCTAGTTCAAGCAGGTGACTATTTAATATTCCATAGCTAGAAAACATCTTTAATAGGTATGTATGCCTAATTCAGCTTCCCATATCTAAATAGTACATATACTAGAATTTTGATTGACACCAGTGCTAAGACTATTATTTGGACACTTCAGCTAGTGAAACGAGCAAAACAATCTACATGGTTGAGAGCATTTATAGGGGTTTATATAAACATGAATCATATTGTGATTTCATACTTCATTTTATTATTTTTTCATCACTGGTGATGGCAATAGTACTTCAGATTTCAACAAAGGAAATTCAAGATTCTCACCAAACAATGAAAACTTGTCCTTGCTAGGTGCAAAAGACTGAAGTTGAAAATGACTGTATTTGCAGAAGGAACTGCCTAAATCAAGTTTCCTTCCTTGACCTGAGTGAAGGAGGGCATTCAGTCATGCCTAAACTATGTTGCGTGCAGCTGGAACTTTCAATAACAAGTTTAAAAAGATGCCAAAGTATACCCAACAAGAATAGGAGAGAATGAACTGATCATTTTATCCAGGGTTCAGACAAAAGTGGTATCTCCTGTTCTTTTTAATAAAGTTTTGTCAATAAAGACAGGGACAGTACATAACAGCAGCCTTCTCCCCAAAAGAATGCAGAGAGAAAATATAAGTTAGAGATGAAGAAAGAGGTTTAATGAAATTGTGGTATATTTGTTATGAAGAAGTAATTTCCCTTTCCAAGGGGAAGCAGAAAAGGTAGGAGGAATGTGCAGAGGAGGATGACACAGTTCATCCTTGCCCCTTGAGCAGCCACAGCACTTATGAGCACAGCTGAAGCCTTGCATAGGAGCTTTGGAGCTATAGTTTTGAAGGCACTGTCGGTCCTGACGACAGCAGTGAGGGTGACACCAGCCCTGAGCTGATGTTGATGAGAAGCTCATCCTTCCTCCCTGAGCTGGTCACTATTCTCATGCTCTCCTTTGTGATTTGATCTGTTGCAGCCCAGCATGATTTCCTACAGGCCTAATGTGCTCAGCAAGTGTTCACTCCAGGTGCTGTCTCCTAGAATGTACTCCGTGGGATTGATATCTTTTAGAGGCTATGATTAAAATCAGGTATTTTCTTCACTTATTACTGGGGTCGCAAAAACATGCTTTCAGCTTTATTTAGTCAGTTTCCCAGTGAGTATTACATACACTATTTGGGCACATCACATTTAGAGCAAAGTTCCTTTCTCTTTTTTGTCAGGCAGTTTTGTATCTACCATAGGAGGGGCACTAGGCAAAGAAGGTGGAGTTCAGTCGAATCACTTGAAGTTTCCCAGAAAATCCTAGATATAAATGACATCATATCTGGTGAACTATATGAAAAAATATCTAAAGGAATTCATAGGACAAAGTTATACTAAGAATTAAACTGAACTACTAGATTGAAACATTTAAAGGATTTAATATAGTTCCAAGTATCCAAAGTACAGACATTTTTATGATGTCTACAGACCCAAAAACAGATCAGACAAGACGATATGATGACACACATCATTAGGTGCAAGAAGATGCTGAAACCTGTCAACAGTCTACATTCAGTGTCAGATAAAGCTGACTGAAAAGCTTAGCCAGGGCTTGAATGAAAATATTTTGATGGAGAAAAGCTGTGCAGAACTAGTTCAATGTCTGAGTGGAAAGCAGGATATAGGTACTGTGGGAAGAGGACAGAAAAATTGAGAACTGAAAATAAACATCTCAGAACCAAGCAATATTCCTTCTCTTAAAGTCAGCATGGGGCACTACTGGCAATATTTGGTCATTTGTATCACTGATTTTTAGTTTCTCAAAGTTAGACATCTCCCCTACAAAGACAGGCTGAGGGAGCTGGGCTTGTTCAGCCTGGAGAAAAGAAGGATACAAAGGTGCAGCCTTTCAGAATCTAAAGGGAGCCCACAAACAGGAGGGGAATCAACTCTTTGAAAAGTTAGATAACGGCAGGACAACGGGAAATGGCTTTAAGTTGCTGGAGGGAAGATTTAGGTTGGATGTCAGGGGGAAGTTCTTTACAGAGAGAGTAGTGAGGTGCTGGAACAGGCTGCCCAGAGAGGTTGTGGATGCCAGATTGGATGGGAGCCTGGGCAGCCTGGTCTAGTATTAAATGGAGAGGTTGGTGGCCCTGCCTGTGGCAGGGGGGTTGGAGATTCATGATCCTTGAGGTCCCTTCCAACCCAAGCCATTCTGTTATTCTGTAATAGACACACAGTATTTTACACACAGGCTGCGCATGTGGATAGTTATAGCTCTAATCTGCTATATTTTGATGCACATTTGTATTTTAAGATTACTGTTTTAAAATCCAGACTCAGCTTAAGCTCGGTTAAAATATTTTTATTTTCATATTCACATACTAAAAAAAGTAAAATAAACAGATTCCATATTTTTGAGGTGTGATTAATGTAACTGAATCAACTCTCAAAGCACAGAATGTCAAAAAGTGCCAAGCTGTAATTAAAGTTCTGGGGCTTTACTCTTCCATAAAACAATTGCAAGTTAAAACAAAGGCAATTCTGTTTTTCTCTTTGCAAAACAATGGCTCTGAGTGAAAGAAGTGTTCATTACCTGTCCAATGAATTACTGCTCATTCATATAGTCATAAAATTCTTAAACCTGGCAGGCTTGTAGATTCTAACTTGGATTTGGCTGGACTAGTTAACAAGAAAATGAGCCTTTTAAAAGACCTTTAAGCAGCTAAACCATGAAGAATAGAGAATAAACCTTAATGTGGCAGAGGCATCATCTTTTGTACTGTCAGAGTGGAAGGCTTGGAGATAGAATGGAAAATGGCAGCAAATGGCTACAGGGCCATGGCTGGCAAATGAGAGACAGCAGTATTACCACAGATAACATATGTGAAAAGGATGTTTGGGATGTTTATTAACATCCAGTAAAAATAAATAGATGAAGACAGATTCCCTGCTGGAGGGCTGGAAGCAGTGATGATATGGAAGAGTGGGAGAAAGAAGAGAGGCACTGCAACAGCTCATCCAGCACACAGTTCAGCTGTTGCAGGAAAAATAACAGAAGCCCTTGACTTCTTTATCACTGTGATTTTCTCCTATCATTCCTTGGAGTAAGTGCACTCAGTTTCTCTTGAAACATAGAAATACAAAGGAAATGAACTTTCCTTGATTCCTAGAGAAGGAAAAGATTCTGTCATGTTTTAATGATCTACTGCCATTTGATTATCTGAATGTGCAAAGCGTGTTTTCCATAAGCAGCAAGCACTGTAAACACCTTTCAGATGACAGTTACTTAGGACAAAGATGAATTTCACCAGAGTAAAGCCAGAGGGAGATGAGACACTGACCAGTTCCCTGATGTCAGCAGGATGCTCCTGAAAAGCCCGTAATCCGTAAGACTGACATGTCCTGCTCTAGGCTAAAAGGCAGTCATATACACAATTTTGCTACAGCACAAAGATGTTGATAAAAAACAGAAACACCAACTTTTCTCCAGAGAAGAATTTACACACTCGCTCATTTTGACAGCCAAAACATCTTCAGCCAGTTGGCTGCCTGTGGGTGCTTTGCTCTGAGATACTACCATCTCAGTCTTGTCTGCTTGCTCCTCCCTTTGCTGCTGAAGGGCTCTGGGGAGAGGCAGGAAAACCTGCTGCATTGTTTTACCAAGAGGAACACAAGAAATGATCATTTCCTTTCTTTGGCTAAATACACTAAAAGCCAGGCAACTGCTACAAAAGATTCAGGCCACTAGCACTGTATGAATCAGCCCTACCAACATCGATTGCCCTAACTGGAAGCCTCATGTTTCCTGCCATGTGGGTTAAGACCATACAGAAATGGCTATCAAGTACAGCTGGATCAAAATAAAAAAAATAATAATAATAAAAAAAAAAAAAAAGAAAAAAGAAAAAAAAAAGAAAAAAGAAAAAGAAAAAAGAAAAAAGAAAATGATGGAAGCATTCTCAACTGGAAAATAAAACTGGTCTAAATGTTTCACAAGATGATGTTGAACCAGAAGCTACAAATAAAAAATTTCTTAAGCAACTAAGTAAAGAAGCAATCTTTATTAGTGCATCTTAAAGACAAAACACAAAAACATAGACAGGAAATTACATCTTTGATTGGAGTCTTTTATATAACATGAACTTTCATTTCTCACCATTAGCTGAGTTGTGGGTGGTATTGCTAGAAAAGGACAAAAAAGGCTAGGAGAAGAGGAATCAAGCAAAGCATTCCTCTGGCATTTGCTGCAAGAGACACAGTCGCTGCTGCCTGAGACTTCAGTCTCAGTACAAGTGGGACGCTTTTTGACCTTCTAATTCAAATATCTTCATCCTATTCTATCTTCCTAGTAAAGCTTGAATTTCAGATGTGCAGGCAGATGACTGAGTGCAGTAGGTCTTTAGATAGCTTAACTTTTTACTGAACCACATAAAAATGGATCAGAATTCTAAAAAACACTTTGGAGGCTCAGCCATTTCCTTTAGAGATGTTTAAGGTAGGGGTAATGTTGTCTGACACCAGCTAAAATATGGGCAAGCAGTCTTAGCCTGCAATGTAAGCTCTCCTTAAAGCAAAAGCATAAAAAATGAGCACCTGTAGATAGCAGCTCAACCTCTCCTTTCTAAAAGAGGAGCCCTGGGGATGATGCTCTTTCCATCAGCTAGAATCCTGGCAACAAATTAAGGCGAAGGGAATAGACATCACTATTAGAGCTTCTAAACCACAGTGGTTCATATGGTCTGATCTGCTATGCTGGTGCTTGACCAGGAGCTGAGCACTTCCAGAAGTTGAATTCTGGCTGCATTGGCAACCAGCAGGGACACATGGCAGGGTCACTGATCACGGGTACGCGCTCTCCTCTGACTCAGCCTTTCAAAAGTTTTATGCCAGTCTTTACTATCTTTACTAGATAGAATTAATGACAGACAAGACACAGTTATTTAGCAGGATTTGTTAGTTGCTGTGGTCACTGTACTTACTGTTATGACATGGTTTAATGGCTGGAAGGGGCTGCCTTTAGACGAAGCTTCAGTAGGACCAGCATCATGTGTGTTGGGTTCTGAAATTAGGGATCCCTTTAAAAACAAAGCAACAGAAATGCATTTATTCCAAACGCTGTTCAAGGAAAGCAAGACCCTCCCTCTCAGGTGACTCTACAAACACCTAACCCTTTTGTTATATATGGCTGCACAACAAAAGCAAATAAATTTGCAATTCTTGTTCCCTATCTGCTGAACACACTGTATAATTGAACTGCTGAAATGGCCAGTTCAAGAATAAGAATGTATAACACAACATATCATGATCAAAATACCAGACTCCTGCAGTTCACCTGAATTAATTAATTCTTTCTTGTCTCCCACATACACCAAGTCAGGTCTTTAAATAGATGAATGATTCTGCCATCTTGTGGGAGACAGAGAAAACAACTATTTGTAGGATAACTGACTGAACAGTATGGAATGTATTTCTCCTTTTTTTTTTTTTTAACCTCCATCATTAACAGACATTAGTAGATAGTATATTTCAGTGACTCCAAAAATAAATGTGAATTAAAACCTCACAGAGGAACATGAGCAAATCTGTTGATTTTTAGGATATCTATCAAAAACTGCTCAGAAATTAAAGGTACAATAACTAGAAATCTTGACTTTTTCCTTACGATCTGTTGATGTTAAATAATAAAAAAAATATATATGAATAATCCATTTTTAAAAAGGAAAAGGTAAAATGATCCAGAACTTTATCAGGATGTGAGGGTCAAACTCAAAATCTACCTTTCCCAGCTGGTGAAAATCAAAGAGCAGGCCAGAGTGCAGAAAAAATGTGATCAGAAAAGATGGGGAGTGCAGCTGCCAGAGAGACACGTTTATTACTTGGCACTGTATGCCTTCTCCAACAGTGGAGTTACTTTGAGCTGTTCTCTCCTGACCAAAAATTACCTTGGAGAAGCAAGCAGACATAGTTTGTACTTATTTGTAAGACCAGCAATAAGCTCATCTAATATAACTAATGCAATGCCAAAAGAAAGTTTCTAAATACAATTGCGTTTGTGCTTACCAAGGCCACTAATCTCCTTTACAAATCAGCCATTGAAGTGAATAATATTTTATTTAGCACATTGAACACAACAATCAGAAAAACAGAATGTAATAAAAAGGAATATCAACAACAGATGTAAGTCACTCTGAAAGTAATGCCTTCTATTAGTTTCCATGGAAACTACAAGAGATACAAAAGAATACAATAACGCTATTTGATAGAGCAAACTCTCAGCTACAAAACACTGTTTTTCAACATAGTCACCACCATCAGCTATGCAATTTCTCCAGTGATGAATAAGAGCCTTCATGTTGCATTCATAAAAGTCTGCACAAAGGAAGGTGACCCACAGTTGCACAGCTGTAATGATGGCATTGTTGCTAGGAAAATGTTACCCAGACAGTTCATCTTTCATTTGCCTGTACAGATGGAAGCCAGAAAGCACCAAATCCGGACTATACAGTAATACAGTCCAGCCAAGATTACCAATGTGCTGCACAGTCTTCAAATGGGGTCTGGTGTTATCAGGCTGCAAGAGAAAGGTTGCCTTTTTCTCTCGCCTGACTCTGAAAGCTTGATCCTTCAGCTTAGTTAGCATCATGATGCAGTGGTCAGAGTTGATGGTCTGAGTTCCAGGAAGTCCAGAAGGATCACTCCTTTCTATTGCAAAAGACAGCAGATATCCATCACTTCCCCTGCCAAGTGCTACGTCTTGCACTTTTTCTTTAACAGGAAATTATCATCTTCAGCCTCATATTGGTTCAGTAGTTCCTGACAAACTTGCATACAGTGTTCCTTCTATTCCTGTGTGAGCATTCATAGGATCCACCTGTTGCAAACTGCAATATTCCAATGTTGCCACCATAATTTCCAACATACTGAAGCCAATATCCAGCTCTGTATACAGTTCCCTGATCAAAATCTGCCAGATAAGTTGATAAAGGATGTTCATTTTGTGGCATGACAGCTCTGCATGGCCATCCAGAACATGGCTTGTCTTTCACATCGTTGCTGTCACTGTTGAAATGCACCACCCATCACCTCACTGTGCTCACATCCCTATTTCATCTCCACAAACATTCAGTAATAGTTGATGCATGTCAGTGGGTGCAAAGTTTCCCATGTGGAGGAATTCAGTGACACACCTTTGCTTCATATGCACTTCCATGTCTGATGCCTTTGTGTCAGAGTGCCCCTCTGCTGCCATCTGTCACATGGCAACAAAATGTAACAGAACATTGGCAGGAAGGTTCAGTCTTTACTGTCACCCCACCAACATCCACCTCTGATGTTGTGGGCCAAGTAATAAAATAGGAGGCACTATTTTCAGAGTAGCCTTCGTAATAATTTGGGAAGTATCTGAAAAGCTAAGCCTAAATCCAGATCTCCAGCTCCCCATATCTGATTGCTTTGAATTACAGCTTACAACAAAAGAACACACTCTACATTTACAAACAAAACAACTACCTCTGCCGCTCTTTCTCCCGCTTGCATCCCAGCCACATCTGCTGGACAATCTTTTGGTAGTCGTGTAATCAAAATTCCCTGGTAACAAAAGAACACATTTCAAACCTCTCACGGTTTCTTCTACTGTTCTTAGTTGTAACAAGCAAATGGGAAGCAATTAATTTTCATGTGTTGTTCTGCTGCCTCTATTAAAGTAGAAACTAGAGTCTTAGAGTATTAGCAGGCGAAAAGGCTTTCATGATTGACTGTACACACAACAATGCACAAAGTCATTAATTGTTTACACCATGCCATGGGGGACAGACTAAGAAACAAGGATTTATTTAAATTATAATTGAGAAGATGCAAAAAAAAACAGTTCTCTTAAATCAAGTTAGCTCCTAGGAATGAGCAAATAATATGGCAGAGGCAAGCGGATTGCAAACAGAGTGACACAGGAAAAAAATGCCAATGGTGTTCCTGCCATGTGGTTGTCTTTGGAAAATCATTTTTTGGAAAATCAGGTTCTCTCTTCCAAAGTCACTCCTCCAGGAGCTTTCCCAGCAAAATCAACTGTCAGCTGTTGCTTTGAGAAATAAGTCGCCCATGTTTCCCCTTGTCAATTCTAATACTAAGACAACCTCAGAGGACAACCTCAGAGAGCAAACAACAAAACACATTATCTGAATAAATGAATAAATAAAAATAAACTGCTTATCAGTCTCTTTCTAACAAGTACTAGATAAATGTTGAGTAATGAAATGCACCTCATCATTGTCTTTATATGGAGATGAGCCCTTTCCACCAGCAATGCTAATACCAAGACTCCCCATTTGACTGCACACAGTAATGGTTATCTGGAAAAGAATTATAGTTGATAAGTGGCCGGATTAATAAAAACATTGCCCATTAATTACACAAGCAATGAAAATCTATTCTCAACACCAACAGTTTTACCCCATATAAAGCTTAGCCTAGAGAGAAATTGTGCTATTCCTCAATACCAGCACACCCAAAGCTAGTCTTTACTTTCCTATAACTACAAGAATGCATTATTCCTAAAATTCAGGTTTTCACATGCCAAAACTTTATAAGGCTGTTTACTGAATGCATTTTGTTTTGTCCACAGAGTTTTCAGAGTGAAAACTCTTCACTCTCTGGAGAACTGCAGACCGACTTAGCCCATAAAACCCACCAATTTACTGAGCATTCATGATAGAAACAACACTAGCATACATTAGGAGCAAAAAGTAAACATTTTTGTGTACATTTATGAAAAAAATATTCTTTGAATCGTCCCTCATCTACAGCCTGAATTATTTACTCCACTCTTTGGAGAGATCAATTGAATTTGAGCGCTATTGTTGTAGCTTCATCAAACAGAGTTTCCGTGTGTGTGTTGCTGGAACAGAAGACTCAACAGTAACCACTGACTTAAAATATCAATATTTAAATATTTTTTAAAGCAGCGTACATTGTAATCCATCTTGCTACTCTCTGCTTATCCTGCCAGCATTGACAAAAATTCAGTACCTCTGCTCAGTAACTTAGATGAATTTTTGAATTTGTATAATGTAAAGCAAAGGCCGCGTAAATTAGTTTCACATTCTAAAGACAGCTTATATTCAAGAATTATTCCCCTAAATTGTCAATTTTTCTTTAATCTATAACAATTCTTGTTACTTAATAACATGAAAATTGCTAAAACCACTATCAGGCTAAACACAAGGAATACTTTGTTGCAGAGTAGCTGACCCTGAACATAAATCACATTTCAATTCATCACATACAAAAAATGATTTTACTTTCACTGATTTGGTTCATCTCTCTAAGACATTTCAGGCTTGAATAATTTCAGTATTTGATAGTTAAGAATATTTCAACACAGATGTGTTTTGAAAATTGACAAATGTGCAGTTACTCTTGCATATATAACAGTCGTTTGACATTCCTGATTTTAAAAAGCCATGAAAATACCCTGTCAGTCAAACAAAAACTGCCAAATTTAGCCCAGATTTACCTGCCCACTCAAGAATTCACTAGTGACTGTCAGCAATGCTTTGATGACAGGACATCAGCGTGGGTGTCCCACCACGTGGGCTGTCTTTTCTGCTGCTGTATCCCCAGCATCTTGGGCTGTAGCACAACTTTGCATTTCTACTGTCCCTTTCTAGAGCTCATCTGGCATGTTTCCTCCTCACATCCTCTAATGAATGCTGAGATGTGATACACTCAGAATTTCTCCATAAATATCAGCCCAAACCTTCACAGCTTTCACTGTTAAGTCTCCTGCATACTGCTATCCACTCTCAAGGGATGGAAGCTTGTCATGCTCTGAGGGTCGTGTCACTGCTCCCACATCATGCATGTGCAGGTGTAGCTGACTGTCCACCTGCATGTAACTTTGGCTTGACTTACAATGGACCAAAGCTGGGTGTACAATATAAGACAGTACTGAATGGCAGCTACAGAGGGCTGTTTCTTACCTTAAGCGGAGGCTGTGTCCCATCTGCAGTTCTGGATTCCTCCAGAAAACTGCTGCTCTCTCCAGGTAAGCTGCCTGCTGAGACAGGGGCCTGCGCCTTGCTGTTTGTCCCTGGAGCAGTTCTCCCCTTCGTTGCTGACTTGTGCCTGTCTTGAAGAGCCGCTCTGGAATTTCTTTTATCTTTTAAATGAACATCGTTATCAAAGAGGCTGCCAGAAAACTTGGAAATAGGTTCCTAGGGGTTAAAGATCAAACAGGTAAGCAAAGCAACAGCACAGAGTAGAGCTATGTGACACCCAAGTGCTACATGTAAATTGGGATTTCCTCCTTTCTATCGTATTATCATTTGCTTCACTGAAGCAAACCTCTAACTTGAAAGCAAATGCACACAAAGATATTTTTGTACAACTATTTCTGTGGGCATGGTTTACCTCAATGTGGGGGTGGAAGTTACAGGGCCAGGATTCACACAGCATTACCCTGATGTTCACAGGCACATAGACATCACACCCCTCCCCATCCCCATCCAGCAATGTCCTTCTGTATTTGAGCTCACAGTGGTGAAAGGGGAGTCCCAGCTTTGTTCAGCTGCGTTAGTGGAAAAAAAGAAGTAATTGGATTGACTTTATTGAGATACAAGTGGCAGTGGTTGGGGGACTGCAAAGTTGGCAGCAATCCCAGAGGGTCCAGTGGATGTGCAACCACATAGGTGCAGCATTCCAAATACAGCTTTGACTCCTGGTTGTAGAATGTAGCTATGTTGAGGTGCAGAACAGTGAACAGACGATGTCACGCTTTGCTAAACCATGAGGGTTTGAGAAGAGAAATATACAAGAAACATTTAGATGTCATACTGAGGGACAAGACTTAGTGGGAAATACTGGTGATAGGTGGATGATTGGACTAGATGATCTTAGAGGTCTTTTCCAACCTTGGTGATTCTATGATTCTAAAACACACCCTCCCAGTCATTTAAGTTTCAAACAAGACTGTCTGCAAAATAGAATAAAATTTTCCAGTTATCAGTTTTGCTTGGCAAGGTTGCTAAAAGAGATTTGGCCATGATCCTCCAACTGTGTCTACATTTTATGGTTGCTTTATTTATATTTATCTGATTTTTTTTTCTTCTTAAATTTGATGGGTAACGTTGTATCAGATTTTCATATTACCATTGTCCTTGTATCTTCTGTTGGCAGTAAAACAATGCATCAAACAAATGGCAATGCCTTTGAAAATAAACCACACAAATGCCTTTAAAGCCAAAATTACAAAGGCAGTGGCAATACCATGAGCAGCTGCACAGAAACCCCACTGGACACTTTATCTCTTAATCTATGTTGGAGCTTTCCCACAATGTCTGTTTGGTCAGGATGAAAAGAAGCATCACTGACCCTCATGAGAGCAAGCAAGACATGACTGCTTCCTATTCCCACTTAAAGTTAAAAGAGAATTTGTTTAGCTTTAATTTACATTAAAAAATATATATCATTATTTCTCTAGTGGGAGAGATTGCCTTCTGGCAGACCAGGGATGTGTAAAAGAGACCTAGATTTAGACTAGATACTAGGAAGAAATTCTTTACTGTAAGGGTGGTGAGACACTGGAACAGGTTGCCCAGTGAAGTTGTGAATGCTCCCAACTTGGAAGCATTCAAGGCCAGCTGGATGGGGCTATGAGCAACCTGGTCTAGAGGGAGGTGTCCCTGCCTATAGCACAGGGTTGGAACTAGATGATCTTCAAGGTCCCTTCCAACCCAAACCATTCTGTGATCCATCTGCATGCGGCCATGCCCTGCACACAAGGACTGGGAGCAGGGCTGGTGAAGCAGACTTAGTGTCAGCAGATGGGGCTTGGAAGGAAGGCAAGGTCCTGCCTGGCATGGGGTCAAAGGAGCAAGAGGATTCCTATAGACCTCTGGGAAAGCCTAGTGAGCAGTACCCTACAGGGCTGTGAGAGGGCAACCTCCTCTTCCAGGGCATGAATGAAAGACAGCTAAGCTGCTGATTGAAATGCTGATGGAAATGTTGCTGATGGAAATGTGGTTGGTTGCAGGCAAGAGAAACTGCAGCATCCAGGTCTTTCAAAAACAACAGCACCCTGGGAGAGCACTGCACAAAAATACATGTGCAGTGGAGTAGTACATGTACATCCACCACTTGGGAGGCACTGAGCTGTAAGTGCTGTGAGCAATCCTGGCTCTGGGCAGCCTGGTCAAGTGGTTGGTGACCCTGCCCAGGGCAGGGGGTTGAAACTAGATGATCTTTGAGTTCCTTTTCAACCCAGGCCATTCTGTGATTCTATGATGATTTTATGAACCTACTTTCTCAAAAGAGATGGAGAGATGCTGACAACTAGAGACATAAGTAGGAAAAATATCTTTAAAAAAGTATGCATCTCATCAATGAGCAAAATACAAGTCTTCATGTGCAAGCTGCATTGTACTCTTAGAAGTTAGGACCATCTAACTGCAAAGAAAGGAATAAAACGGTGAACAAAATTCTGCCCCATCTGTTACAAAACACAAGCACAGACATGAAGGTACAAGCTAGAGCTTCAGGGAGGTGGCAAATGCAGCCTCTCACAAAGCCAAAGCACTCAGCCACCCAGCTCAAACGGTTTGTAGCTTCTTGGCAGACAAAAAACATTCTCTCTCCCAACTTAAAGGAAACCACCTACGTCTTCATCAGGATCCTCCAGTTCTTCCGCTTCTTGCTCAGGGCTGATCCTTCCTTCCCTCCATTTCCCATTGGCAGAGCTGAGTTTGTACAAGTTACCACCATGAAAGCCTTCCTTTCCTTTTAATGAGGTCCAGCGAGAGCCCTGGGAGCTCCAGTTACGGCCACTGTACAGCTTAGGAGACTTGGGAAGCCACTTAATAGATTCCTGACAAGAAGAGGACAGAAAAAAAGAAAAAATGGACATTGTATTGATTTTAAGAAAATCACAGAAGTACATACATGCAGAAATTGTCTGGAAACTTCTGCAAGGTATTTAAGTATCTTGTTCAAACTGGGTCTCCCCTTTTTACCTTGGGATATACCTTCAGTCCTAGAGACACTTTGCCAGTTACAAGGCAATATCAGTGATAAAAGGAGCAAACAAAGGCTGCTGACGTGAGAGGAAGCCTTCAGAGACTCAAATGAGTGTGGAGCCAAGCTCACTTCCAGCATCGTAAAGAATTACATAATGAACAACAGTCTTCAATAATGCTACACCCTGCACTATGAAGAATACAAACAAGAATACTTAAGACATTTTGTGACTTTCATCTCATGCCCTGGAGTTTAAAATAATAAAAAGCAAAACCACAGCAAATGACCAAGGTCACTCCCCTCCTTTTACACTATTGATTAAATAAAGCGTGCTGTTTCTTGAGTGGTCTCAATCACAAGCAGAACCCTAAATTGATGCATTAAAGTTGCTGATTTTCAAATTATAGTCCAGTTTTCCTCAAATATCAATTATTTATTTATATCCAGAAAACCCTCTCTTCTCTGCTTCATATTGGGTTTATACACATCAAGTTGTATATACCTTAACTTCACTGAACTTCAGAAATCGTTTTTCACAATAATGCTTTGCTTTCTTTGAAGCATTAAACTTGCTTTTCAATTTCCTCAAGATGATACAAGTCCAGCAGCAGAAAGCATCCTGATACCATATCAACAGCACCATTAGCACACATGCTTCACCAAGGCAAAGAGATGGAGAAAACAAACTAATTAAGAGAGTTGTCAACGAGCTTATGGTAGGGCAATCAGAACACAGTGATTTCAAATTGTTAGAACAGGTAACTGAATTAGATCTAACACTTCTCTAAGCCTCAATTTTTCCCCTTTTAAATGCAAAATGGTTACATTCACAGAAACACAGATTTCTTGCTGTTATCAGCACCTCAGACGTCACAACCTCTACAAGATCTACGGCTGAGAAAGGCAGATAGGACAGGGCTGTCTGTGCTGGACATGCTGATCCATCTTCAGCTGCCAAAGCACTTCCCGTTAGGACTCTTCTTTCACTTTTGGGTCTGGCATGGCTAAAAAAAGTAGGAAATGGAATAGCACAATGTCCCAGTGTCTCTTTGGAAACAATTACAGATTCCTCTGTGAATTTTGAAAAGATCACAGCTCAGACAAAGGATTATTTGCATTTACATTGAATCAGTGATCAGCATCTGTAAGAAATTTGCTGTTAACTCGTATTTCATCAGAGAATGGAATGCAAGAGCCAGCACAAACAATCATGAAATGTTAATGACTCCCATTCCTGCCAATCACTGAGCAGGATATCTCATGGCATTTCTTTATATTTGCCTTGAGCAAGTAAACACAGAATACCACTAAACAGAAACTTTGCTTCCCATGAATATTAACTAGGAGCATAGAAATTCTAATCAGATCATGAAACAGCATCCTAACTGAAATTGTTTGCTATTGTTTCACAGAATCACAGAATTGTATGGGCTGGAAGGGACCTCCAGAGATCATCGAGTCCAACCCTATGCCAAAGCAGGCTCCCTACACTAGGCTGCACAGGGTGGCATCCAGGCAGGTCTTGAATGTCTCCATAGAAGGAGACTCCACCACCTCCCTGGGCAGCCTGTTCCAGTGCTCCGTCACCTCACTGTGAAGAAGTTCTTTCACTTTGTTTAATTTCAAGATAGTAACTGTGACACCTCCTAGCATTCAGTATATTGCCATAAACAGCTTAAGCCCTTGTCAGCTTTGAAGCTCATCAGAAAGGCATAAAATGATTTCACTCCAAATTTAAATACAGGTACGTGTGCAGTAGAAATTGCAACAGTTCAGCTACTACATACTAGATTCACACTCCAAAAATACAATTATCTTAAATATATATATATATATATATATACACTGCAGTAATTTCTTAGCTCATTCTTTATTTGAGTGAATAGTCTAGGACCATGCTTTGTGGCAAATATCTGAAGAGAGGAAAAATCAGTTCTCCTTACAGACCTTGGAGGTGTTCATTGGTCTTCTCACTACCCAGGTAAAAGCAGGAAGTTTCTTCTTGTGTTTTATAAACAAGGAAGATGAGAACCAAAAGAATTTAAAGGTCAGTGTCTTAAGTCATGGTGTTTACTCTTACATTCTCTTTAAAAATAAAACAAAAGGGGAAGAGGAATTTAATTCTTTTTGCTTCTTGGATACTTGGGCTGTGTTAAACACTGGTTTTGCAGATCTAGAAGAAATGCTTGGGGAAAAAAGTATGTATGCCTCAGCATTTGTTACATTACATGGAAATATATTTTCCATTTCTTTTCATCAGTAACGACCCTTTCTTATTGGTAAACGCTCATTTCCCTGTGATATTTAACAATTATTAATTATTATTATGTATTTAACAACAAAGCAAGTCAGATGAGCTCCCTTTTCGCCTCCTTCCCACCTGTTTTTCATGTTTTCCAAGGCAGCCTCTTCAGAACATAAATATTCCTCTGTACATACCCCTGGAGGTTAAGAGGACAAATTGTTCTCATAAAGTACAAGGTGTCCAGTCTGATAAGATCTTGCTAATAAATCCTCTACAGAATGAATTTCCTTCAGGCAACAAAGGTTTGCAAAGTCTGTGTATAACCTTAAATCATTCTGTCAAATGAAAAAGAATCTAAAACACCCTAACATTAAAAGACAAGAAATGAAAACCACCCACATTTCTTAAATAGCAAACCTACATTGATAAAGAAACAGTACGCTCACAGCAATAACCCAGTAACCAACTGCAAGTAGAAACCAATGTAAAACTGCTGGAGCTTCCAGTAAACTAGAATATTTTCATAGTAATACACCTGGGGTTTCAACTGAACACCCTATAAACCTTGTCCAGAAACACTTTAAGTGATTAGTAAAAATGGGAAAGGGAATGTCTTTAAAGATGAATTTCCAACAACAGTAAAAAAAACCACTGTTTTTCTTTGAAGTACATTACATAAGATTCAGTATTCTATTCATCAGAAAATATTTCAGAATCATTCCCTCTTCAAATTACAAAGAGCTAAAAGAGCTTTGTGTGATTCATATGAAAGGCAAATGAAAGCTAACCAAAATGCTGTAGAAACAAAGGCATACTTAACATGCTGCCTGAACAGGTTACTGAAGCAAGCCTTCAACAGGCAAACTTTGCTAGCAGCAAATACATGACTTAACTTTAAATTTAGATGTTCAAGTATTAATTAGCCTCAATCTCTCAATTTCCTAAAGACAACATTTAAAAAAAAAAAGTTGTAGGTTATGCTGAAAGCATCCACTACGCAAATTCCCTTCCGACTCACAGATTTCTCCCCTTCTGAATAGCTACAGATGATCCATAACATCCAAATAAACACTTTCTGTTGATTCAGCTTTAGTTTTGATTTTACGTTGCTTGGTGAAGAATGTAATGCCATCAATGAACTACGCGTGCAAAGAAATTCACTCATGTTTATAACCTTGTAGTGCTTTACTTAATATTCCAGAAATCCAGGACAATCGTATCTGCTATAAGCAATTTCAAAATGACTTAATGCAGGCCATTTATTCTGGGTTTGTCTGGAAAGTTACTGGGAGGGACCAGAGAGAATTAAACTATTTGCATCAGTAGCACAGTCCCGTAATTTGCTCAAGGAGCAAAAGGAGGTAGTTTTAGTCTGACATCAAACTAACTTTTAAGTATTAAGTCCTATCTCTGGGGATGCTCACAAACAGAAATTCAAGCTGCTGATGATTTGGTGGCATTCACAAGCTGTGTGTGCACCCATGGGTTCTGAGTAAAGTCACTACAGTCAGTACTTGTCTATGTTCACTGCAGAGGAGATGGACTAGACATCCCTTGAAAGTCTCTTCCAACTCCAATAATTCTATGATTCTACAAACTTACTTATCTAGAGAGTGTTCGTTTTGATTGTGGTTACCATGCCTTCAGCTCATAACCCAGATATTTCAGTCAAAGACACATGTACCCCTATGCATCCTGCTGTTCCAGATTCCAAGGCTGGCCATTCTGTTGACTCTAGTGATAAAATGCATCACATCTCCAACATCTACCAGAAAAGCAGATAAGACGGTTCCTGCAAAGCAGCCCTCAAACCAAGTGCCTGCCTATCCACTCTGGAAACCTCACATTTTTCATTAAGCTGGTTGAAATCTGAGTATTCTGCTGAATTCAGAAAAAAAGAGGAAGGCAATATCCCTCTGATAATGTCATAAATGGCTTGGGAGGAAGGGAACACCCAAAACATTTGATAACCAAGGCCAATTCACTTTTCTCATCTTCTCTGACAGTAACCTAAGCACAGAAACAGACTTGTGCATTTGACAGAAATAGAAGGTGGGAAACATTCTCACCAAGCCAACTGAAAATAATCAAAATAATGCTATTTCCCAGATGCAAGGCAAAGAAAGGCAGTGAAATCTCCATTTAAAAGAGGTCTACATATTTCTTATAATAGTGCACACCAGTCTCAGTGGGAGGTACACGATTCACAGCTAACCATATATTCAACATTCAGGCTATATCAACTGACACACTAAAGAGTATACTTCACAGAAATTCAGTTCTTGGTATCATTCCTTTCAAAAGCTGAATTCATGAGCATCAAGTAGTGAAACATGCTGAATAGCTAAACAGCAAAAAATAGTTCTCTCAGCACAGGTAAAAGCACTCCCCATTAGACAAGGAGCAGTCTGATCAGCTTGTCCTGAACACAAACAAGTAATTTCTTGGGAAAAAAAAAAATCAACATGCAAGTTTCCAGTACCCACTTCACAACCACACACTGCTTATCAAAAAAATGGAATGCAAGCTAGAAAAATAATCTTGACATATAAATTATATAGAAACTGTGAAAAACATCTGCAGCAAGAAAATGGAAAAAGGGGATGGAAAAATCACTTGCTACACCAACTATTGCTTTTGCTTTTCTAAGCTTACGGAATTGTAACTTTCAATAAAAACAGGTTAATATTAAATCCACTCCACCACTATGGTCAATTGGTTTTCCCTCGTTAACCATCTAGCTAATAGCTGCATGCAAATAATGCAGTGTTTCTTTCCTTGCATTAAACCACCTCCCAAAATGGCTTACAAGGCAATTGAAAGAGTAGAGGAAATTTTGAA